TTGGCGGTTTGCACCTCTGCTGGCGCTGCTGGTGCCACCTGTGGCTCTGGGACCTCTGTTTGCACCTCTGCTGCTGCTGGTGCCACCTGTGGCTCTGGGACCTCTGTTTTCACCTCTGCTGCTGCTGGTGCCACCTGTGGCTCTGGGACCTTGCCTGTTTGCACCTCTGCTGGTGCTGCTGCTGGCACCTGTGGCTCTGGCGCCTTGGCCATTTGCACCTCTGCTGCTGGTGCTGGCTGTGGGGGCTTGGCAGTTTGCACCTCTGCTGGCGCTGCTGGTGCCGGCTGTGGCTCCGGGACTGCTGTGCCCTGTGGCTCTGGGATCTTGGCGGCTTGCACCTCTGGTGCTGGTGCCACCTGTGGTGTTGGGGCATTGGATTGCAGCTCCTGCCATGTGGCAGGTTGGGTCTCCACCTCTTCGGGAGTGAGGGTGCACTGCCTCCACCCCAAATCAAAGCCAAAGACATGGCAGTATGTGCGCACATCATCAGATGCAGAGTCATTCATTTTCAGCCACAGCTTCCACAACCCCACATCCTCTCTCATGCTACTGGGGTTCATTTGCAACAAGGCATATTCCTTGTACCTGTAGTGTGTGACCGCTTCTCGGCACTCCTTCCATACAGCATTGTCATCCATCTTGAGCAGCTTCTCACAAACATCACTTTCCCAACCCTGAATCTTTGGGTGGACACGCTCCCGAAGTTGGAGCTTCTCCTCACTGGTCAAGATTGGAGTAGCCTTCTCTTTGGCATAGTTTTGCAACTCCCAGGTCTCCATACGCTCAAGGGTTCCAGGCCGATGTAATGCAGAATGAACTGCATCATGTTGCCATTGCTCCTGTTTGGTCAGAGCCAGAACCCTGGACTACTTTGTTTAGGACATGCAGGATCCTGCCCAGTTCCACTAGATATCAGGTGTAGCTACTTGCGTGGTGGCCAGAAGGGTTGATGAACCAGTCAAGAAAGGGCATCCACGGAAGCCACCAATACAGTATCTAGATTGAGTTCCCCAAGCATGTGATGACAATATTATAAAATTCCACATTCAGATCTAGAGAATCTCCTGGTGTTTTTTCCATGAGTCAGCCGGCTGCTCCCACCAATCATCCCATGAGCGTGAATAGTCCCAAGACCAGCATTCCGCTGGATCTGGTTGATGTTGTTGCCGTGTCCAATCGGAACGAGCTGGAGTAGCCTAGCCAGGGCAGCATGTCGACAAATGCCACTGAGGAGTGGATGTGGCCATTGGTGGCAACTAGATCGATCAAAGACTATGCAGCCACTTGGCACCAGATCAGCTAGCAGTAGCATGCATGGGTGGGAAACATCCTGCAGGCCTGTGGGCGAGTCAGAGCTGCATAGCTATCCTTGATGTCTTGGGAGTCAGGCATTTGGGAGTCATGCCATTCCGTTGTCTGGCCTCACTGGTCCAGACATGTGACACCAAAAAATTTGGAGTTGTAGGGATTCAGGGTGTCTGACGAATTGCATATTCATGCATTTGGATGATCATTTTTGCCAGTGGGACCATAGACCAACACCACACATGCTGTCCCAGTTGCTGTCCCGTGAGTACAGCAGGGTCTCATTGCTCGAACGATCTTTGGGATCTTTCTTGGATATCCGTGGCCTGGAGGTTCGTGGCCTAATCAGACAGCTGGCATTTTTAAATAGCTCACACCCACTCAACTTCTTGCCCATATGGTGTTTATAAAGATTATTAAAAATTCCCAGAGGCTCCTTTCAGCTAGCCAGGAACAATGAGGTGATTTCAGACATGCTATACTCCCGCATCCCTTCTACCTAAACATGGTCATACAAAAACATGGAGGTCAAAAACCAGGGTCGTTTGACATGCCCACATAGCTTTGGCACTTGCCAAGGCCATGACACCAACGTTGAAGTCCCAGCTACTCCATGGATTCCTGCTGCTCCTTGGTGTGCTTCTTCGGAATCGGGGTGACTTTGGGCTGCGGGTTGAGCCTGGCCCTCAAGGCTTCATTTCTCTTCAAAGCTTTCTTTACAGAAAGGCAGGGGTCTGGCATACTGACCCACTAAAGAAGAACTTTCAGTAGCACTGACTGCAGCCAAAATCTTCAGGCAGTTCCTGTGTTGGCATGTGATATATACTCATGCAATACTAGAAATTGTTCTTTGTGCGTCTATGAAAAAGAACATGGAACTCCACAAACTCCAGCAGTAATGCACAGTCCATGTTCTCGGATTTGAAGACATAGCTGGATTTGAAGACACAGCACAGTTCATGTTCAGCATGAATTTCTTGCTGAGTGTAATTATCCACAGTCCCAAATGGGCACAATTACCTGGCCTTTGCCAGAGCAACATGTCACTAAGACTGCCATTCGCAAAGCTAATTACACACGCTAGCCACTCACAGAAACCAACCCCATACCAGAATATTGCAGCTTTCATGTGCCACAATTTTCTGAAATAGTTGTCCATATGGGTGATAATCTCCATGTGTTAGGCTACTTTTTCCCACCAGTTTCCATGCATTTGGGTGGTCCTCCGGGCCTGTTACGCTCCTGTTACGGTTTTGGAAGGTCATTTGGAGTTTTAGAAGTACTTTCAGGGGGGGTGTTACGGAATTGTTACGGATCTGTTACGCTAAAAAATTGTCACAGGTTCCATGTGCTTTTGAGCCAAATTTAGGGTGGTTTATTGATTTCTGTCAGTGGGACAG